CACAATTTTGCTTTTACACATCCTATTTCGTCACACTGGGAGGTTGGATCTGCAATCAGCCTACTGCTGAGGAGCACAACTGCTGGCTAAGTGTTAGGGGGACAAGCAGAACTGGAAGGTGAAAGACGTATCCTTCTTCCTCGTCGAACGGAGGAGAGGAGGATGCTACTAGGACGATGGGCCTTGAATCAGAAGTGCGACACCGCTTCTTGATTATGGGATGTGGAGGGTGGGTGCTTCTCTCCGGAGCTCCAAGCGCATTGCACTGCCGCGTGTAGGGTCATCTGGGAAGGTGCGAGAGGGAAAGGAGGTGTAAAAGAGTGGTGTATTGTAGGCTATGGGCATGGTGCAGTGGCCACTCCACCATGTCCTTGGTGCACTCTTCGATGAGCGTACTTTTCTTCCAGGCACAGTACTGTTGTCGTGGCACCTTGAATGTGGAAGTTGGGCGACCATCTTTCAGTCGAATGTGTCTGCGCAGGGGCAAGATGGTAACAGCATGAAACGTTTCTTCGCATCCTGACACTGTTCATGAATTTGCATGTTCTGCTACCTCTGCGGTCACATCGGCACCAGTCTCTTGTGGTCGCTGAGTTGCAGTAACTTGAGTTATGAACGCATCCATTCGTATCTTCACTAGTATGCGCATTGGGTGCGTAATTTGCTCAACTATGCTTTGTTGTAGGAAAGCAGCAGTAATTCCGCATTAGCTCATCTCCAGCGACATGGAGGTGTTTGCAGTGGATCCCTTTCAACCATTCAATAGCGCATTTCACCTTTCAGGCGGTTCTTTTTTGGTGGCATAGTAATAGTTGAGGGTAGTCGATCCCTTGAACGGAGTACTCTAATGCCCAGACAGTTCGCCCTTACGTTAGACCATCAACACTTGAGTAGGTCGTTTTCCATTGACTCTTCCAAGTTTATCCGTTGCTGTGACGCCTCTCCTTTATCCTTGGACAGGGCAATCTGGATCCTTGCGCGTTATATTCCACCGAAGAGGAGCTGGAGGATCGCGTGATGGAGATGCTAGACTCGTTTGCTTTCAAGGGAGGACGTTACATTGCCAACCTCGGCCACGGTATCTACCCAGATGTGGAGCCCGAGAAGGTGGCTGCTTTTGTCGACTTGGTGCACCGACACTCTGCTCATGACATTGCCACATGATCGTCTTCCACCCTGCTCATTTGGAAACGTCTACCTAATTCTCAGGTCTTTGTATCGAGCGTCCTTATGCCTAAATCACTACCTTAGTTGACCAGTATAAAAGTAAAGAGGCATGCCCTCCATTGTAATGGAGTGACCGTCCGTTCTCCTGCGAGTGGATTGGAAGTGTTGACAAGAGGTGTGAGGAGATTGTTGTGCGATCTCGAGATGTTTGGCCATTTCGCTTCCACATTTAGGCGTGCCTTGGTGGCCATTCAGGCAAAGGGAAGGGCGTTACCTACACCCACAACTGAAGTGCGTGCATACGCCCAAGATGGTTGGGTCTTTTGGCAGTGTATATTTTTCGTCCATCAGATGTGCAGGAGGTTTGCTTCGACTCCCAGAGATTCGAAACCTACCTCCCCATCTCCTCCACACTCGTCTAGAAGCGAAGGCATTTACCAAAGTGTCGCTCATGTCATTGAATTTGCGGTCATTTTGGTGAGGTTCTTTTGTGAAAGGACTGTTTGGGTTACTGTGTAAGAGGAGTGTGCGTGCGCCCTTCTTGCTAACCTTGTGTCATTTTCTGTCATGAATGGATCCTGACTTGTGCATGAATGAGTGTGCAGGAGGGCTGGTGGGTACCAATCACGTGTGACGCCAACCGATGGCCTTATCACCACAATGATGACCAAATGCTGTGGCGATTGAAGGGTATGGGTGGTTAAGCGTGAAATTTGACGCGTCCACTATCGTGTTTGCCCTTTGGTTACCAGTCCATTATGGTTCACGGCACTAAGTGATTCGCCTTCACATTCGAAGAAGGTGGCGGAATTTCGATGTTGATGTGAGATGATGGACGATCCACCTTGAACTCCTCAAAGTCTTGGTCAAACTTCCAGTGAAATTAGCCCTCAGGTTTGTGCCCATGTTTTGTCAGAGTGTTAGGGAACTGTTGGTCTGGCGACTCAGCTTGAGGCAAGGCATCGGGCGGATTCTGCCCTCGAGAGATGCTGTGCCGCGGTACGTTCTCTGCTGAGAGAGGTACTCCCCTCAAATCCTTTCCAGAGGTTCCGTGCAATGCACCGGCATTCGGTCGGACTAGTGCCTCGTTGGAAGTAGTGGGTGAGAGAGGCAAGTTCAATTCATTTTATGCGGGCAACTGTGAATTGTCCACTGCTGTTTTTCGGTCACCTGGAAATTCGCTCATATTTCCTCCATGCGAGAGGCAATGACACCTCCTTACTCATTTTTTTGGCGATTTTGAGGATTGGAATAAGTTGTAGAATCGTGAGGCATTCCCTGTTCCTTCTGGCAGCGTCGGTGAATAGCAGCTCAAATGGAAGCTGCCATAAGGCTTCGTCTCTGACAGGGTGTACTCCTCAGGCTGTGCAACTGCTCCACCGTGCACATATACGGTCGCGATAGATCAACTGGTTTTAATTGGGGCATTTCTCTTTCTACCACAGGCCTGTGCAGTCGATTCCAAGTAATCTGGTGTTTGGGGCCGTTTTGCTTCATTGGAAGTGAGCCTGTGGTATGTGGAGTGTTTCTGCTCAAAGTGGTTACCTACTGGGGAGTGAGAGGCACTGACTCTGAAATTGGCTTCCAAATTGCTACCGATTTCATCTGATCTGTGCTTCAGCATAGGCAATGCCGTTTGTTGGGAAATTTTCCCCAGTGTATGTGGGCTATCTAAAAATGCACCTTTCTTGGACAAACGTTCTCGTTAAACGCGTGTCCACATTGGTTTGTGGGATGAGGTAACTGCGTAGTGAGTATTTATTAGGGCAGGCTTGCAAGCCTATAACCGAGTCAGCGAAGGTCACCTCTTCTGTCAAAGGTTCTACTTTCTTCTTGCTCGTCTCATCGTGGCATCGCAACAACCTCATCACTAGGATGAAGAGCCGAGTCCACTTCCCATATACTCCTCATGGCACGCTCTCTTTCTCCGTCTCGAAGTGCTTCGTCCCTCCTTTCACGGGACACGTGCATCCGAGCCTCGGCAATGTGCTCCACTTGTGCGCCATCAGCGATTTTGCAAAGAAGCACTTTGTCAAGCCAGTGTCTACGCTGTACACCATCGTTTTGTGCATTCATGACGTGTGTGGTTGTTCGGTGTTCGCCTGTATCAAGCACCGCTTCTATGAGAGACAGGCAGACAGACGGACGTGGACTTGATGTGCCTGGCTGTAACGCCGGCAAAGGTAGGTGGCCTGCAGATAGGAGGTGGTGAGGCCCTTTAATGACGTTCGATGCTTGCGGCGTAACTGGCGTTTCGACGTGTGTTCGGGTGTTGTAGGCCGATTAGCTGATGTAAGGAGTCCCTTCACAACGGAAAGCATACATTTCTCCAAGCATATTGGAGTGATACCATCGACAGGCTGTCAAAAGCCCCACAAATATCAGTGCATGGCGTGATTAGTTGGTTTCAAGTGCCTGACACTCTCTTGCTAATGAACACACAAAAGTGCCTCATTCACCCACTCGCGTATGTTAGCCAGCACATCGTTGTTACGGCAGGTGATAGTGAAGTAGGAGGCCTCTCGAAAACACCATATCCTTTGAAGTAGTCACAATCACACGTGCTAATCCTTTTCGCGACGTGATCTGAGACAGGGGTCGGGGTCGGTAATTGCACTTTTTCAACAAGTTTTGCAGGCAGAACTAAGCAAGTCAGGGGACGAGCTATGGCGAAGTACACTTCCTCCGTCTGGTGTGTAGGTCTCGACCCTCGACCGTTTACCTTCCACATGATCGTGTGATTGGTGAATGCTAATGTGAGTGTCAAGGCGGTGGGTCAAAGCAGTGCGCCTGTTCTCCCTTGGAGCAATGTCATCGGAGGAATATGGAGAACGAGGACATTACGCATTGTTGGAACGTGGTATTATTACAAATGGCCAAAGTCTTATGGGGCATCGCAGGTTGCCGCCTCCCTAAATATGGATGGATGAGGTGCTCCTGATCACGAGATTGATCCAATCAAGTCACTCATTCGCTTGCTACACACAAGGCGGAAATGCGACTTGATTGCTTGGCATTCGACCGGAGGACAACTTCGTGGTGGAGAATTGCTTCTGCAGTCCACCGCACACACCACAAAGCAGGCGTAGTCATTTGCGTGGAGTGAGGTGGTGCGTGTCCCAGAAGTTGGGTGTATTGGGAGTAATGAGTGATGAGCAAGGAGTGACTGAGTGGACCATTTGGATGGGCACTGTTAATGGCGTGGTGGAGGTGGGAAGAGAATTGTCGCATCACTTGTAAACTGGCTCTAAAGGCACGTGGAAGTCCTGTGGGAAAAATCCCCTTAGATCCTATCGGGTGGATTGAATTCGACACCCCATGACTGCCTCATGTACCCACGGAATGACGTTAGGTGAGGCAGTAGCGGTCGAAGAGACCTGGTGTCAAGCACCTGCACTGACACCTGTGCGACTAGTGTCTGGTTACTCATCGAACATGTTCCGCATAGATGAGGGTTTCTCCAGACCATGATCATCCAGCTACACGCCCCATGAGAATGCTACCCAGAGGCAACCCTGCCTCATTATTTTGGACCTACACTACCTTCAAACCCATTGCCTGAACCCCTGATAGAAAGGGGAGCTGGATGATGGGACCACCTCCAGATTGATTGGAAGTAGTCTGTGATTGACCTACTGCGTCAATTTCGACTCGGTGCCGCCGGCTATTGTAACGGGAGGCGATCATGCATGCTGCATTTGACGCGAGTAGCAAGGCATTTCCAGTTTGATGAGTGGAGATGAGGTGGCCTGACTTAAGCCCAACTCCGACTCCGAGTAGAATGACCCAGTGTCGAGTTCTTCAAGAATGTCATAGTAGTTGCCGATGTTTACAGCGTTGAAGTCAGTCAGTCAGTCAGTAAGGTGCTGATATGAATGTGCTAGATTTACGAAGTATTACCTCGTGGAATTGAAAGGAATATTCCAGAAACACTGAGTGGTCTCACGTAAAAACATCCTTGCTATTTTCGTATTTGTACTTTTGATTTTGGTTACTGTAGATCACATTCCCTCGTCCCCAATTTGAGTCGACAGTCATAGGGTGGGGACTCACCAGCTTAAACACACGATAAGAGTGGGTCACGAAACCAAAACAATTCAAGTGGCAAAATACGTTGACTGCACTTTCCTGCTGCAGATTTTCTGCCTGGAAATGGCATAGGCGAAAAGGCCAATTTACAGTCGGATGAGCAGCCATCCAGACAGGAGTATCGAGGGGTGTTGTTCGGTGAGCCGTGAATGGAATTGGTGGGACTCCATGAACGCCTTTTAAAAAATGGAGATAAAGGAATTCGGTCGACAGTAGGCGAGAATAGGAGCGGGAAAAGAAGGGAAAGCAGGACAAAGATGGACGGCAAATAGGGGTGGTAATCCACATCCACGTTCAAAGAAGCTAAAGGTAATCTCAATGGATGGTTGAGTGGCATTGCAATGAGATAATCCGCAGGTGGTTATGAATCCGTGACTTCCAACCACCTCGAAAGCCCACATTTTAAAAAGCTGTCTTCAATTTAGTGCTTCTTTGACCATTGATAGACATGAAATCCGCTTGTTCTGGAGCACAGTCTAGCATTGGGGGCAGTACCAAATCAACGCATTCCTGAGGTAGCGTCCACAAATTGAGGGAGAGCGCCAGCCTCCAAATTGCGCAATGGTATAGCAACTTTCATTCTCATAGGCAATCAAACTTAGGTGGGAAAAAATTGCACAGCACAGAACACTCCTTTCTTAGTGTTGTATCAGACCAACACGACATGGGGACTGCACTAGTCGGTTTTCTTCCACGGTGTCGGTGTCGAATGCGCTGCGGCTGCAGGCCACTACCTCTTTGTAATGGGAGAAATACCCAAAAATACATTAAGAAATCTAACACAAAGACTTCCCCCCTTTTTCATATATGTTTCCCTACAAGCACGTGTAAATCATGCAAATTTACTTCTAAGCTATGGCGTTGGGAAGTTGCCCATGGTAGAGGCACACAACACCTCTTCAGATTTCCAGTAAAAGGCAATAAAGAGGCAGTAATTGTTGTGAACTTGCGTAGCCTTGCATAGAATTTTGAGTGGGGAAGAGGTAGAAAGTGGTTTTTTGTAGATATATGTTCATAAAAGTCCACATTTTCCCATTGATGCAAGATCATTAAAAGTGTGCAACCTCAGGTGTAGATGTTTTTCCACTGCTTGTGTGGCGCCCTAATGAATCGGCGTGGATTCTGGTAACTACAACCTGCCTCCATTGTCTGCAGCCGTGATTTGCTAGCTAAGCTGCTATCTTCCAGGCGTCTTTGGTGAATTGAAGAATTGCCAGTCAGAGAGTAAATCCAGATGGCTGAATGAAGCTATAATGTGTGCTGGCAGAAGAAGCCTGCAATACTGCTCAGGACTTCAAGCCTCCCCAAAGACGACTATGAGCCTGAACACCGTATATTTACCGATGCACAGCTGTGCTTAGAGTCCATTAACAGAAGTGTTGCGAAAGAGGCGTTGTGATACCGAGGTGACCACGGAAATCAAAGTATTGACTTCAACAAACGCGATGTCAGCATATAGTCTTTCTGCATCTACATCTGAGGTTGCACACTTTTAATGATCTTGCATCAATGGGAAAATGTGGACTTTTATGAACATATATCTACAAAAAACCACTTTCTACCTCTTCCTCACTCGAAATTCTATGCAAGGCTACGCAAGTTCACAACAATCACTGCCTCTTTA